ACTTTTTTTTTTTTTTTTTTTATTTTTTTTTTTTCTTATTTTTCTTTTTTTTTTTTAATTTTGTTTAGAAAGGGACCTTAAAGATTATCTAGTTTAAACCCCCTGCCATGTGCAGGAAACTTTCTATTAGACCAGGTTATTCAAAGTCCCATCCAACCTGGCCTTGAACATTTCCAGGTTGCTTCACTAGAACCAATTCTTTGATCTGAACGTCCTGTCTCAAGAAGGGACCTGATCCAAAAACCTGTCCTAATCATCTTGTAAACACTAGGTCATCAACAGGCAACTCAAAATTATTTGTCTGAATAAGTCTTAAAGGGTTTCATGTAATGAGGAAAAGGCAAATTTCCTGCTACAATGGAAGAGCTTCCTACAGCCATCTAACTTTCCTCATTTTTGGTACATCTTGGAGAATGAAAATGGTCCAAGGAATAACATGGGATAAGCCAATTCTCATGTTTTGCCAAGTCTGAAAAGTAACCTGGAAGTTCAATGAAATGAAGGTTTTTAGTCCTGTTCCCATAATTTTTGTATTCATCATGTACAGCTCTAGCACCTCACAAAATTAACTTGATTTAATTTAATGTTCACACTAAGAAAGCGAAAATCATTGCAAAGCCACACTGAATGGTCTTTAACATTCCTCTGTTTCTGAAGATTGGAGCCACCAGTAATTCAGTTTAATTTATGCCCACGAGCTGGCTAGGAGGCTCCAAATAAATGCCATTAACACAGCTGCTATGGAGGGCAGGGCTGGCCTCTAGGGGAAGCTCCATCCCTCATCCTGCACTCACAGATGTGGCTCTCTCATCAAAGTGCTGTTAAAAATGGAAACCACAAGCTGTGAAGGAGTGAAACTCAGCATAACTGGCGCAATCCAGCAAAATGTCATTTTCCTCGTGTGAGTGGAGCCTGGCAGCTCTGTGTGGCTTGTCTCAGCTGATTCCTCAGGAAGCCGAGTTCCCGTGATGCTGGGTGAGACATGTGCAGAAAATGTGGACAAGGAGACAAGGAGGAAATAGCTTGGAGCACCAGCTGGGTGTAATCACATGTCCAGGCTCGTGAAAATTCCAGTGGCTGTTCTGCTCAGCAAGTTCAGTTCTTCCTCTCTGGCAGAACTAGGTGAAGTGGCCAAACTGCTTGCAAGTAGCAATACTAACACCAAGGTGTTGTTGTTGTTGTGGTTCTCAGATTATTCTTCTCAACAAAGAAGGGCTGGCAAAGCAGTTCTAATGCTCAGCAGCTGCCTCGTGTCCCCTGTTGACCTCACAAGGTCCATGTGTTCTGTCAGATGCCCCTTCCCCCTCCACTGATGGCTGCAGCAGGACAGGACAGGAGGCAGCTCCACGCTCGCTCCAGCTGCAGTCAGGAGGCACCAGGAAGAATGAAAGGCAGGAAAACCTGGCCTGCAGTATTTGTCCAGCTACACTCTCCTGCCAGATGCATTCAAAATGTGTCTTTCATCACTGCCTGGCACCTCACACA